CACTTATGCTAAATGAAATGTAAACTTGACGCAAAGTAGATTTATTAATTTAAACATTGTCGTCGTGGAAAACAGAAGTGAAAATGCGAGCGGCAAATGACAACTCAATGTGCCTGTCACTGGCATTGCGTTGGGCGGGCGGCGGTGCAAATTATGAAATTAGTATTATGTGAAATGGAGTTAAAAGTGTGATTAACTTGGCGCGTATGTAAAACCCCCAGTCGAAGCCATAGCCACAGCCACAGCCAAAGACAAAGGCATCCGAGGCATTAAACATAAAGCATACGGCATAATAAGCTAGCTAAAGCAAACGGCAAACCGCAAAAACGCCAAAGACAATGAAAGTCAACTAGTTGCGTGTGTGTGTGTGTGTGTGTGTGTGAGTGTTAGTGTGTGTGTGCCAGTGGCAATTAATACCATTTCAGTTAGTTTTCGCAGCCAGCAACTGTTTTCCAAGTGAGCAAGCATGCGATTTCGTCTCCAGCTCCCAACGCTGACAGAAGAAGAAGAAGAAGACACATACATGAGCCCTGCCACAATGTTGTTGTTGTTGTTGTTGTTGCTGCTGCTGTTGGCTTATTAGCAATGGCACTTAGAATCGGCATTGGGCTTGTCAAGTGGAGAAAGCCACGCAATGCGGTTGCCCAAAAAACCGCAAGCGCAGCGTTCCAACTCCAAACACAGCTGCATGTTATTTCAAGTTCGTTGCCTAAGTCTTTTGTTCTGCATGCGGTAAGTGCACGAAAAACAACTAAATTCGCATTGAGGCTGAATGTGTGAAACAAATTGGATTAACTGACACGCGAATCCATTGCCCAGCCACGAGTTTCGATTTCGATTTCGATTGTGGGCACCCGGAATTGGCCTCAGCCCAACCGGCTGGGCAGGGCCTCGTCCAGGCTCGTCGCAGGGCAATGTCTGTTGCGCTTTGCTTGCTTCGCTCTCTCAACTTTTCTATAGTTGACTATAATCATACACTATTAAATGTACATAAAAACTAATACTCGAGCCCAAAAACCAAAGCCAAATATAATTTATAAGTATTAAAAAGAAAATCAGCAGACCAACAATTAATAGACCATGAACAGCAGCTAGACGTTTTCATTGCTTGGACTTTTTAGAGAAAATTGCACACTTTTCAAAGCTAAACTTCAGACTCAGTTTCAGATCTTACTAAGGTACACATAGCTCTCATAACTCTTGGAAAGGGATTGAAGAACAGAAATGGAACAGAAGGCAATTGAACAAATTATAATAAATTGAAATAAATTTAATTTTTAATTTAAATCAATTTGCATTTTATGTTTGGACTTAAATGCTAAGATAGTTGTTGAGTAGTTATTTATTTACATTACATAAATCATTTTATAATTTTATGGAAATATTATTAAGTATTATACTCCATTTTTATTTTATTATGCTTATTATGGCAACTCCCGTGCAGCTAACAATTATTAATATTTATTTATAATCATTTTATTTATATTTTTTATGTATTTTTATTTGATAAAGTACTTTGAACTTACATTAAATATGGCAAAAACTAACCTTTTAATTTGAAGCGAGCTGCGTCAATTGTTTGCAAAATAATGAAATGAATGTTGAACTTTGTTTTTTAATTCCTTTTCTTTCGTTGTTGTGCTTTTTGTGTATTTTTCGTTAAACATAAGCAAGCAACTATTTTGAATACTTGTCGACTTCAGCTCACGCAAAACATTTTTCAGCGGCTTTTGCAAATATTGTGCAAACCATAATTAATTGCAATGTGAAAATAAATGTTGCATAAAAACGAAAAACAAAAAATTCAGACACAAAACAAAACAAATACAAGAGACACGCACGAGTAATAGACACAGGCACAGGCAACGTCCAGGGGTCAAGGATTCCTTTTTTATTTATTTTTATCTTTTTTTAAATATTTTTTTTTTTTTTGGCAACCGTTGAACTAACGTAACGGCAACAAGTCAAACGGGCAACCAGCGTACAAGAAATGCGCGCGCTTGCAGCAGCTCGAGGCACGAAAAAGACGACCACGACCACGACCACGACGACGACGACGACGATGGAGCTGCCTGTGAACCGGGATCGGTAGCGATCCGTCAAACACGTTTCCCAGTTACAACTTCCCAACGGAATGATTTGGCCGAATCTGCAGCAGCGCCAATGAAGCTCGGCTAGACAGCCAGAGACAGCGACAACGGCGCCCACCGTTAACACAAAGCTGGCGCCGGCAAGCGAGAGAGAGCCCAACCACAGAGAAAGAGGCAAAGAGAGAGAGAGAGAGAGAGTGAAAGATTGAGGTAGCCCAAAGCCGGCTATCACCTGCTGCCAGCTGCAGTCAACAGCATTCGCAGAAAGAGAGAGAGAGAGAGAGTGTGTGTGTGGGAGAGACTCTCTTTGGCTTGCATTGAGAGCTGAAGAAAGTAGCGAGTCAGCGAGTCGCTTTGTCTGCGAGCACCCTATAAAACTTTGATCTACGAACTAATATTCAAGCAGCGACTGTTGCAGCTCCAGTTGTTCAGATTCCAATTCAGCTAATCGAATTTGTCAACTGGAGCCATCAGCTTGCCTTGGCCAGTGGTTCCACTGGAGACACCACTGAACATGCTCGACAAGCTGACATGTTTTGCATATCGATAAAACGGTGTTTCGGTGCTTCAAGTAGTTGTTCTGCTTAAAGCAACTTAAGTTTCATAAATCTTTGTATTTAATTATTGACAGCTGGCAAATTTCTAGTCATTATTGCGATTCGCTTATTAGAAGGCCTGATGAGCAGCCAAGTGAGTATACCCTGCATTGCACTAACAAAGCGCTTAAGACTTCTATGAAAACCGAAATCGAGCTGACTGAAATCCTTTGTAATTGCTGTCCCAACACTTTTCACACTGTAAATGTATCGCTATGTTCCTCCCTCTCTCTCCCTCAGCTACAGATCCCATCCCAGCTGCCTGTCTGGCTGAAACGGCGCTATAGATTACAGATGGAGTGTCTCCCGTCAGCTTAGCCTTGAATTTCCCTTCATATTATCGATATATTATCGAATTGTAAAGTAACATTTAATTTCCCAACCAACTATTAAACTCAATTAAGCAATTAATGAATTATCTCTAAATCCGGCTTATAGTTTATATCTTGACTAACTAAACAGAAGTTTATTTCGACTAAATGTTGACATGCTTTTCTAAAGCTCATATCTAGTAAAGCAACTAATTTGATAAGTTTTTCCCACACAACTTAAATTTCCCTTTCATATTATGAGTAGTTTTTGTCGATGCCCACAACGAATTGTAGAGTTGCATTCAGCTCCCAATCAATTACATCGATTACTTGGTTAAGTACTCGCTTAATGTAAGGCCTATAAATAGGGCTAATCTCCATAGGATAACTCATTCGTCTTCAGCCTGGCTGGCAGGCGAAACCATTTTTGTTTTTCTCCTTTTTTTTACCTACTTTTAATTTTTATTAAATATATATTGTGAACAAAGTTTTGTTTTTGGTAATTTCTTTCCTTTGGTTATATGCTTTTGTAAAACAACAAAGGAATTCGCATGCATGTCACAAAGTTGATAAGAAATATGATATATTTTTTGATAAATCCTGTATTGCAATGTAGTACAAATATTTCTACTGTTGGTAAAATGCCGAGAAGTATGGTGGCTGGAGTTTAAGCGAGATCCTTTCAATCCTAACCTTTCCTTTTGAAAAACTTTCGTTGGTGTCGAGTTATAAAAGCGTATGTTGCACATCGTAAATGATTTATTTATTGAAGTGCATTACTTGGAAGGCAGTTTGTATAATTTCTAAACGGGCTTATCCCAAATCACGAAGCAGATTCTAGGCGCTGGTTTTAAGCTGCGACGGACAGGAGATGCTGGCTGTTGCAATATTTGTAGACAGTTGCAGTTGGTGGTTTTTCTTTTTCTCAATGAATCGTAAACTTAAAAAAAACGTTGATTTTTTCATTTTACTTTGTTGCATAAGCAAATGTCTTCAAAATGAGCTCACTTTCAAAAAAAAAATTGTAACAGGAAAAAAAAGTAAAGTTTGTTTTCGGCCCACACGGCGTATGCGCAACGCGCACATCCGTCATAACTTTAAGCTGGAGGCTCTTTTTCCACAGGCTTCACCTGTATGACCCACGGCCCATCAGACGTACGGGCAATGCGCAAAAGTCAAATCATGACTCTCAACTGGAGGCACTTCGTCCACTCGGTGTCGCTTTTAAGCCAAACAGAGCGGCAGATTGCGCAAGGCGAGCCGCAGGCGAATCGCCGTCCGTTTAATTGCCGCATTTAAAGCTGCAATTAATTTGGTTTTTTCTTCATTTAACTTGACTTCAAATTTTCAATTAAAGGCAATCCACGACGACGCGAAGCCACTCGGAAATGGCAGACGCTCGACTAGAATCGAGCGATGAGCAATATCACAAAGCATTGCCAAAATTAAATTTCTGTCGATGCTCTTGCTGTGGGTACATCAATGTTTTTTATCAGCTCGCATTCGTTTTGCCAAAATAAAACAAGCATGGAGTACTTCTTACAGAGAAACAATATGATACCCTCTCATAGATGTGGAAGTGTATTTTAGCTGCGGCAACTTCAAATTAATTCTTCGGTTGAGTTTTTCAAAGTTTAAAGTTTTTATAATTAAGTTTGTTTTTTGCTTTTAATTATTATTTTTTGTTTTAGTTTTTTTTTTTTGATCGTTTTTATTAACTATCAACCAAATATGATGGTTCCAAATATTTTTGTATTTCGTCGTCTTTGTGCTTAAATTTGGCTTTTTTTCTACACAGAAGTTAATCATTAGCAATATCGTAGGGAACTTTCAGCTATAAATTGTGCTGCCTGGCAGCCAAGAAGCATCACAAGCTATTGGAGCAGCGCCCCGAGAGCTACTTAAACAGCAACAACTTTAACAACAATCAACAATCAACTTATTCAACTACCAATATGAAGGTAACAGAATTCATTCAAGGATTCATCTTCAGGACCGACTAAAATATACACTTACAGGTTTTTGTCTGCTTGCTGGCCACTCTGGCCCTGGTTAATGCTGGACAACGCGGCGGAGCTGGCGGTGGTGGTGGCTATCTGCCAGGCGGTGGACGTGGCGGTGGCGGTGGCGGCGGCGGCGGCGGCGGCTTCAGGAATGGAGCTGGACTCATCTCTCATGTCTCACAGTTGCATGGCAACACGAAGGTGCAAATTGGCTCAGGCGCTAGCGCTGGAGCCTATGGCGGCGGTGCTGGCGGCGGCGGCGGTGGCTGGCAGGGAGCAGGTGCTGGCGCTGGTGGTGGACGCGGAGGCTATGGCGGTGCAGGTGGTGCTGGTGGCTGGCAGGGTGCTGGCGCTGGCGCTGGCGCTGGCGGCTATGGTGGCGGTGCTGGAGCTGGCGGCTATGGAGGCGGTGCTGGAGCTGGCGGCTGGCAAGGAGCTGGTGCTGGTGGCGGACGCGGCGGCTACGGCGGCGGTGCTGGAGCTGGCGGCTGGCAAGGAGCTGGTGCTGGTGGCGGACGCGGCGGCTATGGCGGCGGTGCTGGAGCTGGTAGCTGGCAGGGAGCTGGCGCTGGCGCTGGCGGTGCAGGCAATGCCTGGGGCAATCCGGCCTCGTTCGATTATTCAGTGAACCATGGTGCTAGCGCCTCCGGTGGTGGCGGTTCCCGCGGCGGTGCTGGTTGGTGGAACGATTAAAATAATTGTTTACACTAGATAGAGAAATGGATATGACAAACCGAATAAAATGAGTTAATCAAACAGGAAATGTTTCAATTAAAGAGGGCTGCCAGATCTTTAAAATTGGATTGCAGTGAAACTTTTGCTACACATTAAGCCAAATAAAATATATGCCAGATGGCGCTTCAACAGCTTGGTAACGGCTTTAACCTGAGCTCCTATAGAGGGCGACACAGTGCACAAAGTTCGTGACAAGAGTCTTTTGTTTCAGCGTTCCAATTGTAAGCTGCAGATGGCGCTTCCAGTTTAATTTGGCCAATTTTCAGCAGAGGCGCCAGAGCGCGCCACATGCCCTGTGTTATCTTCAGCTCTAGGTGGCGCTAGCCTCGAAGCCAGCCAGTTCGTTGCCTAAGTCTTTCGTTTCATATAAAACCTGTTCGCTTAACCATCTCTCGTAATATTTGTACCGCATTCAGACCGGGTTAATGAAGTTCAATGTCAGAGCGCGGCGTTGGCTGTGAAAAGCGAAAGTCGAGCGATGGCATGGGCTGGCCCCAGCTCAGTGTCACTGAAATGGCCATAAAGGATAAGCCCGACCGACAGGCTGCGCATCAGGCTGTATTAACGCACTTGAAGGCATTGCAAATTGAAACTGAACTAAACGCACTTGGACAACTCAAATTAAACAGCTTCATGCTTATTGTATTTGGTTTTTGTTATTATTTTTTTTTTTTTGTTTTTCATTCTCATGATTTGATTTATTGCCAACCACTTCACGTGTGTATAAACTTGTCTTTACCTTTTGATTTTTCGCTTCCGCCGTTTGCTTTTGTTTGATAGGCTTTGCATTTTGTATTTGCCATGCCATGTGTGCTTGTGTTTGTGTGTTTATTTCTTGTGCTGTTTGCCTGCTTGGCTGCTTGGCGTCGTCGTGTCTCGCATGAGACGTGCCCAGAACCTTGGCAAAGCCACAAGCAATCGTATGGCTTTTTTGCATTTTGTGCATAAGACAAATATAATTACACAAGCAAATACAATTTGTTGTTGATTTCGAATTGTTGTTGTGTGTATTTGCATTTCATATGTTTGGCTCAGCTCAACTGGTTTGCCATCTAGCAAATATTTGCCGTATTGCATGTCTGTCCCAACACACTGAGCAAACTTTACATTGTGGCATTGAGCGCAGACCAATTATTTCGTAATTTTATGAAGCAACCAATTTATTAACGCCAGAAAATAAGAAAACTTAGCACTTGATGCGTGGCTAAGTTCAAGGGCAAGCTGAAACAAGATTTGGAAGCCAATACTTAATAGTTTTAGTAAAAAAGCATGTTTACACTTTCTTCGACTACATCGCAAATGTTTTCCATTCAGTTAATCAGTGAAAGAATTGTTCTACAAGTTTAAAAGGCTTAACATGTAGATGCAACAATTCATATATGAACTGAGGCTTCACACTACGGAAAAAGCTTTGACAAAATAAAACTGAGCTAGCTCAGTCATAAAGATATATATTATTGAAAAAATCAAACTGTTTATTTCCAAACATAGATTAGCAACAATCTAGAGCACAATCTCCGTGATGACCTCCAATTTGCCATTTCGGATGCTAACTGCTTGATTTGTGAAATAATACTTTCAGGTTTATATATAAGTAGAAACTGTCTCTTTATACTTCAAATTGGTGTTAATGGATCTGTGTTTGTCTCTGACACGACTTTTGATATTTGTTTGTACAGTTTTTTTTTCTCTCTCTCTTCAATTTTCACAGCATTTAAATCATAGTTTTATTTAAATCAGTATAGCTACTGAGTTTTTGCATATTGAGTAGCCTGCCGCTGTAAATGTTTATGAACAGGATTATTTGAATGCATTAATCTGCAATTAAAAAACAATTTTTATGGGTCACGTTAGCAGCGGCAGCCTTAATGCTACAGCTATTTTAATTTATATGTTTTGCATTCCCATCAATTAGCTACAGAATACAGCATGCACAAATATATATACGTATGTATGTGCACATATATATATACATATATAGATATATCGATGGCTTTTTATGTGTACGTCTGATTACTATGGAAAGTCGACAGCAGTTTATGCAAATCAATTATATCGCAGAGACCTGTGCATTTTCATATACATTAATATTACATCCAAGCATATGTACATGCATATACATACATACACACTTCTGTATGCACGTATAAGTGGCTTTAGTACGAACAGAATCTTTAATATATGCCACACGGCTGCATTGAGTATAATTATAATTATATGCCAGCTATAGTTTATGAGTGTCATCAATTCTGCAACCCTATAATGACAAAGCGCGGTACTTGCGAGGGTCGATCAAAAACTAGGTGACTTACATACATGCGGAGCAGACATTAATGCTCTAGACTAAAGAGCTTCACTGGAAGAGGAGACACCGACTAAGAAAAGTCCTCGTATATCAACAGGACTTCCAAAAGCTTCTTTTCTTAAAAACAGTGCTGGAAAGTGGTGTTGCATTCAAGGATACGTTTGAAACCAATTGAGCCACCCTCTCACGAGAGCATGCGAGTAGATGAGACCACCAAAATATAAAATCTTTATGCACTGCTGCAGCTAGACATTCACTTCTGTGCAGTTGGGTCAGTAATTGCATATGAGTTAGTGAATAAATAAATATTTTAATTTCACGAAAGCCTTCAGATTGAAGGCAATGCGATGGGAACTACTTTTTATTAGGCTGTTATGGAAGATGATTCTATTGTAACAAAAGACGCGTTACCCGCCAACCAAAATGTATCTATCCGCAGCATTTTTATCTTCATCTAATGAACGTGTTGAAAAACAAAAGCACATGATAGTTTGTTTTTTTTGGTTTTTTGTTTTTCATCTTGGTGCTGGCAGCGCGTGAGGCCCCAAAACTGGTTAAGAATATTTCTGAATGCTGCCGCACTACAAGGCAAAACGGCAGCAAAAATATATATACATATATCTGTAGAAAAATGTACAATGGCGACCCAATATACAGATCGTAAAACTATAAGATCGTTGGGTACTTAATATATATGTATATATTCCGAGAGCTGCGAGCATGCAATGGCATATAAAAATCGTAATAAAAATTCTTTATTTTTCTTAGCGTTAATCTTATTTAACGTGTCATATATTCGAATTAAATTTAATTATCAGTTTGGCAATAATATTTACAGCTTTAATGATTATAGTATAATTAATAAAACTTCCATTATACGCTTTTAAATGTCATGTCTATAAATCGCGCATAACAGAAAATTAGTTAAAAGCTTAAATAAATTTAAATAAATTCTCGGGAATGCAAAATTGTATATATTTGTGTACTATTATTTAGCAAAAACAGAGGTTGCATAGTTATTGTTAATCTTCATATGCGAATTAATTAATTTTGGTTGTTTCTTTTTTCGGCAACTGCAATTTGAATAAATGAGCTAAAACACAGCCAAAAACTAATGTCTAACTAATAAATATTATTAAGATATTTTGTTATTGTAATATTTAAGCGAAAAGGAAACATAGGAAATGAAGAATTATTCTATATCTATATATGTTATATTGGCTGACCTCAAGAAGCGCTTAATTGATAAATGTCGAATGTGAGCCCAAGATTTCCTCAATAGATATAGCTAATGAATCAATTGTTACAGCATGAAAGACCCATATAGACATACATATTTACGGACTGACAATAAACACCCCCAACCACAAAAAGTATCGAGAATTAGAGTTTAGCATAAATTTTCTGTAGGTCTTAAGGTGCATTGAACTCGGGAACTAGGCGGGCTCTAACCAAACTATTTCTTTGTATTTTCTTAGTACCAACAACTACATATATGTATATACACATAGTATATATATAGTATAGCATACAAATATATGTACGTATTGCTTAGTCAATTGACTATGCAAATATGAGCAAAAGCATAGGCAGCATCTCGGAGCTGATCCAAGAACCGGTTCTGGCTTGCGCCTATTTATAAGCGATGATGTTGATGGGAACGTTTCGATATTAGGCCAAGCCTAAGGCTGCCAACTGAAGCGATCGGGGCCCATTCGCTGGCTTCCTGATTATCAGATCTGGCGTTACAGTTTGTCGTTTTGCACAGGCCACTTAATACGCTTAGCTCGTGTGGGACCTTGGTCTGCGAATGAGCAGCAGCAGCTACTATGGACGGGCTGTCCAAATATCATTTATCAATTGGGCAAGCTCTGCGTGTTGTCGACTGCTTTTTGACAAACTGTTGATCTATTGTTGATGCTGTCTTTTCTGTCTCTCTTCTTCTTGCATATGATCAAACGCCGTTAATTTGTTTGACTTGTGGCCCAATGGATCCAACCTATGTTTGAGAAAACAGCCAGCATGATATCCGAGCGCGTTAACAACTAGCAGATACCCTGTATCTCAGTTTGACTCAGCCTAAGGTCTACATTGACTCGACTTTTTTTGTGCTGATAGCCAACATATGTGCACTATTTGGCATACCCCTTTGGCGTACAGTCCATGAATAGAGGGTATTAACAATGGCCAAGTCTAAGTCGCGCATGCGTAAAGATTTGCATAGTTACCGGAGACAATCGGCAAACAAAAGGCACGTCGGCAGCTGGTCAAAAGCAAATATCTTGAACAACATAGCACATACACATACAAAATATGTGGGTTATTAATTCTTTTAATTGCTTAAACGATCAAAAGCAACAAATTGCTGAAGCACTCAAATCAAGTTAACCACACATCGTGCTTCAACTCGTGACACGAACGTCTGCATGATGGGAATTTAAATTATGTGAGAGAGCGATGATTTAATTTTAATTTTAAAGCATAAATTTATATATAAATATATCGATACAAATACGCAATATTTGGCCTCAAAACAAACTAAAAAAAAAGTATAAAAGATATCTATAAAAAACCAAAAATTTCTCTAAGAGCCTCTAGTCTGGCTTTCGAACACAAAACATTAAGAGAAACCGTCAGCCGAAAGTTATTACTTAATTTCGAGCCTAAATTATTTACTTACTGCACAAAACGAACACGTCGTGCATGTCGTGTCGCATTGGTAACATTGCTGCTGCCCGTGCACGACACGCGGCCATCTCTACGCTAAGGCACTTGCTCTATCTTCAACTCGAACTCCCTCTGTCGCCAGGCTGAAGCTGAAGCTGATGCTGCGCATAGGCAATCATGAGTTATTGAGTTATTCATGCTATGCGATACTCGTTGTGTATTCGTTGTGTATTGATTTCGAGCACGTTTTTTGGTATAAATGCGTGTTGGCATCTTAGTTGTAGAATTAGTCAACGCTTCCGTTTTGTCTTGAGCAGCACATCGAAATTGAAATCGTGATCGAGATCGACATACCAATCTATTGCAAGATGAAACCGTTTGCCTGTATTCTTGTTATCCTCGCTGCGCTTCTGGCCGGCAGTCAGGCTTCGTTGGAGGGTCTCCTTGGCGGTGGCGGCGGTGGAGGTGGTGGCGGTGGCGGCGGCATTGTCCAGCTGCTGCAAAGCAAATTGGGCGGACTCGGTGGAGGACTTGGCGGTGGAAACGGCGGTGGCTACTCTGGTGGTAGCGCTGGCGGCTACTCGGGTGGCTACTCTGGCGGCCGTTCCGGCGGCTATTCCGGCGGCTACTCTGGCGGCCATTCCGGCGGCTACTCCGGCGGCTACTCCGGCGGCCACTCTGCGCCCGCTAAGGTTATCATCGTCGAAGTTGTCAACCAGGGCCAGTCCGGCGGACATGGCGGTTACTCCTCGGGCGGCTATGGTGGTGGTCATGGCGGCTACTCCTCGGGCGGCTATGGTGGCTCTCAGGGCGGTTACTCCTCCGGCGGCTCCGGTTGGAACAAGGGCTGGTAAGCCAGCGCTTAGCCCAACAATAGCCTTAGTGTCCAGTTCAAACAGGGAGCCAAAAAGCCAGCAATCGCAATAATCTTCAGTTATTTCTAAGTTCCATTTTTTTTTTTTTTTAATTAAATGTTTTTATATATATAAAAATACACTCTTTTTCTTGCTAGTCTTAAGCTGAAAATTAACGCAGAAATTTTCAATTCATATTGTTAATATTAAAATGAGGCATCGCGAGCTCAAACCGGTTGGCGGAGTGCTTCCTGTTTGACCTATTGTCCGGCACGGTGACCTCATGGCACAGCCAGCCGCTTTGCATGGGCTCCACCTAATTGGCGCTGACTGCAATTTGGCTCTAATGCGACATTTATAGCACGGGCGCGCGAAGATCACCCGCCGTAAATTGGCCAAAACGAAGACAATTCAATTTGGCAAGGCTTATATTTTACATGGGGCCCAGCGTTTGGGCCTTGTTGCTGCAATCGTCGAGCTCGACAGTTAAACGCTTTGTTGCGGAATTTGCAGTGTGCCGCGTTTCTTATTTTTTTTGGTTTTGTGGCACTTGATTGATTACCGTCCATTGAGGTCTGTCAGTTGCCGAACGAATCGATCGCACAAAGGCCCGATTTTGATTTAATGCCGCCCATGAAATTCTGCAAGTCTCCGACCGCAAAGCCCAACAAAAGTCAACAGGTTCAAATGCGCCAGTTTCAGCTTTTGCTATTGACTGTCTATTTACTTGAGGCTAGATCAAATGGAGGGGCTGAGAGGGGAGGTAAGTATCAGCAATCAGCGATCTTTGCCATTAGTTTTCATAACTCTGCTATCTGAAAAGCTCGCTTCCGAATACCCTAGAAACATGTGTTCTTCGGCTGTTAATGGACCAATCTACAATCAAATTTAATTTTGAGCTTATCTCTAGAATTCTCATACACAATATCGTCTCGAAATGTTACTAAAGGCAAATGATGTCTTTCGCTTGAATACGACAAAGTTTTTCCGAAGACATCCATGGGTCGCAGAAACAAAGCTTTTAATAGAGCAGTGTTGGAAAGTCTTAAGAGCTTCACTATTCTTATGTTATTCTTTTTAAGAACTTTAAGCACCAAAACAACGTATTGATAAAGTTTTGAAAACTAATTGAGCGCACGTAACACCAGTAGCAAACAGCTTTCGTCTGTTTTACTTAGTCGCTTTACAACACTGCCACATATAACCACTAGCATAAAGAGCAGCACGACACTAAAAGAAGAAAAGTGACTGAATGCTTATTGCTTCATGAATTGTATTGACTCAGTACCTTAAGCAAGTCTGCAAACCACTTAGAGCCCGAAATTTAAATATAATTTTGACTTTAAATCGAATCTTCTGCCAAGTCAGTTGCCCAAAAACCAACTAAACCCAAGTCGAAATATATTTTTTCAAAAATGTTTTAGGTAAACAACATAGTTGGCCATTATTATATTAGGTAGATGCCAATTCCGGCTAGAAAGCAAATTTAGCCCTCAACATCTATATGAAAATATTAATGGCAGGCAATATTTTCAGTAGAACGGGCAATTATAAATAAAAAAGAGAACTTTTTCATTAACATTTTTAGAATATATATGTGACAGGTCAAGTATGAACCAAGGTATGATATCGAAAACTAGAGGCAAGTAATTGGTTCAAGCCTTAGGTCTACCTTATTAATTATTTTTGGTTGGCAGTCTCATTTTGAATAAATTTCTAAGCCTTTACAAAGTGTTTGAAATTTTGTAATAAGCTAGCAGCTTTCAGAGGCCGTACTTGCAAGATTTACAACACTGTCACATGCCAAAAGCACCACCCTAACACTTAAAGTGAAGAACTTTAAAAGTGGTTAAAAGCTTAGTGCTATTTTTTTAAAATTAATTTTGATTTTGAATTAATAATCTAAAAGCCAGCACATATGTTTGCGCTTTCCAGTTTTAGGCGCATATTAACTCGTTTTACAGCACTGTCGCATGCAACCATTAGCAGAAGCCACAGGCAAGCATGGAAAGAGCTTTAAAAGTAGCTGAAAGCGTTATGCATCGACGGAATTATTTTTAAAAGATCTTGAAGTTAGAGAAAATATTCGACATGATACCATGCTACCAGACTTTAGGCACATACTAATCTCTTTCACAACACTGTAACATGCAAGCATGGGAAAAAGGTGGAGGGAATCATGGGAAGAGCCTTAAAAGTAGCCAAAAGCTTTATGCAAAATTAATTTTAAAAAATGCAAAAATTATTTTTAATAAAATCTTAAAGCTCTTAAAGAACCAAATGTTCAAAATTCTTCAAGATGCCATCGTCGACTTGTCCAAGTCAAATGGATTCTTGAATTTAAATAGATTCTTCAGTTCATACCGAATTGTATTGTATATCGGATTGATTGATTGCTCGCCGTGTGCTGGTGACCCGATTTGTGTGCACTTTGGCTTGCCAAATGCTTAACACGAACCGTGGCAGGCTGTGGGGCAATGTTGGCTCCACGGTAGTCGGCGACACGTGTGCAGCCGACGCCAAGCTCATTGATTATGAGCCCGACAAGCTCAGCTGGCTAATGGCTGCCGTAAAGAATTGGCCACCAGTCAATTGCTTTGCCCCCAAAAGGTTGTTACATAAAAATGGCGCGCCAATAAATCGATCTTCACGATGTGGTTTGCTGGCGGCTGGCTATTGTCAGAATCGCCAGAATCTAGAGTCTGGCCCAGAGGCTGAGTCAGGTGCGCGTGCGCAACTGCGTCTGGGACTGCAAGTTAGCACGGAGTGAGGGGGGGTTGCCCGGGACGGGGCGTTGCCAACAATAGATGGCAGCAAAGCGTACGAAATTGAAAGTTGGCATAATGAGGGCCAACTGCACGAAGCCAAGATCGAAACGAACGGCCGGCCGTAAACAGATTTGGCAATTACATCTGATTACACTGCACCAGCAGCAGCGACGGCGACGACGACGGCGACGGCGACGACAGCAGCAACAACTGCATCTGCAGCGACAGCGGCTAGAATCTTAGATGCGCAGCACTCGCTGGCTGTATAAATAGCCGAGAGTGCGCCCAGTTGGAAATTAGTTAGTGCACAGCAGCAACAGCAGCAGCAGCAGCAACAGCAACAACAGCAACAACAGCAACAAGAAGAACAGCACCCACAAAAGATGCAATCGCTACGTCGTTTGGTTCTGTTTGGACTCTTGGCCGTGCTGAGCGTCTGCTCCTTTGCCAAGCCCCATGGCTGGAGCAGCAGCGGTGGCGGCGGCAGCGGCAGCGGCGGTGGTTGGTCATCGGGTGGCGGATCCTCCGGCTGGTCTAGTGGCGGCGGCGGTGGCAGTGGCGGCGGCGGCTGGAAAAACGGCGGCGGCGGCGGCGGCTGGTCATCGGGTGGCAGCTCCTCTGCCTGGCCCAGCAAAATAAGCATCAGCGCTTGGCCTTCCAGCGGCGGCGGCAGCAGCGGCGGTGGTTGGTCCTCGGGCGGCAGCGGTTGGAAAAGTGGCGGAGGCGGCGGTGGCGGCGGTTGGCCCAGCGGCGGCGGCAGCAGCTCTGGCTGGAAAACGAGCTCCGGTGGCGGTGGCGGCCTAGGCACTAGCTTGTCTAGCGCACTGTCAAGCCTTTCCGGCTGGAAAACTCAAGCATTGTCGGGTCTGAGCAGCGGCTGGAAATCAGGCGGCGGCGGCGGCGGCGGCGGCAGTGGTGGCGGCTGGAAGTCAGGTGGCGGCGGCGGAGGTGCCTGGAAGTCAGGTGGTGGCGGCGGCGGCGGCTGGAAGAGCGGCGGAGGCGGCGGTGGCTGGAAGAGCGGAGGTGGTGGCGGCGGCGGCGGCGGCGGCAGTGGCTGGACGAGCGGAGGTGGCGGCAGCGGCGGCGGCGGTTGGTCTTCCGCCGGATCTAGCAGCGGCTGGAGCTGGTAGAACCCTGTCGATAACGAAACACTGAGGCGACATTTGGCAAAAAACTGCAACTGTACATAACAACAAAAAAAACAAAATAACTATCTCTTATGCTATGACAAATCAATTTTTTTTTTTATAATAATTTTTTTAATCTGTCAATAAACATTTAAAACAATGTAAACTTCCAAGTGGACATTTTTGGGACTATAGAATTGCGGTTAAGATTAGATTTTTCTAGAGCGCAAAGTCCTGTAACCCGTCAAAGTGAAGATAGTGAAGTTATTTTCCTGGGCAACTGACAGAAGTGTTGCCAGGACAAATACCTGCGTTTGCTCTTCAGTCTAAGGCATCCAAGCCAGCTGGCTCCGAGCCGGGAGTGGACAAAACAATAGCTGAGACTTGTAGCTTATGATTAAACGAAACGTATCAACCGAACCTTTGAAATTTCAACAACAACTAAGGCCTTCGACTTAGACTAAACAGCATACAACCAGCTATCACAGCCTGGCAATCAAATCTCAGGATCAGGATGTTGTTCAGTTGCCTCAGTGACCCTGGCAGCTAGATAGTTCAGCCATGGTAAATTACTACGGCTGACCAGGTGGAGAAGTCGAGATTTTCCGTTTACTCTTCATCTGAACAGCAGCAACACGATCCTTGAATCCTTGCATAGAAGCTATGGTGTTCTAACCTATTTGGTTTCTTTCAGAGATTGTTCGAAGAGATTTCCTTGCCTCAGGACACTATGCCTAGATCCTATCATAGCTAGCCACTAAGTGTTGTAGACATAGTTCCTTATTTGTATAATAATAATAATATACCAAAGCACAACTAGCTGGTATGACCCCAATTTAGGTAGTCCAAGTTTTATGCCTAACATTTTTTACCTTAGTCGACCAGGACAATCAATTTTATTTAGTTGAAAGACTTGATATACTCGAGCTAAGTTGTAATTCCCTTGGAGTATCCTTGTGGCTAAGAAGAACGTCAGCGGTTTTAGCAAAATGAACGATTATTTATTAGTACAATTAAAAGTAGAGAGGAAAGAAAAGAGTTGAGTAACTTTGGGTGTAACTAGTTAGGTAAGCGAACAAAAAAAAAATTTAAAAAAAATAAAGGTAAAGTATAGCACTTGTGGGAAATGCCTCTAGCTCTATATCTATGCCGTGGAACACATGTCAGCCGCAGGAGTCGCAGTAGCCGGAGTATTTACATTTCGTTTCGTCTTGCAGTTCTCGTTGTGTGTGGTTGGGGTGTTTTGGATTGAGTTTGATGTTTGGTGGTTGGCTTTACCAGCCGCCGCCACCGTGCTTGCCACCGCCTCCACCGCCGCCGCCGTGCTTGCCGCCGCCGCCTCCATAGCCACCGCCGCCGCCACCGCCGCCGCCGCCGTGCTTGCCACCGCCGCCGTTACCGCCTTGCCAGGAGACAGCGCTGCCGCGATTGCCGGCCAGGGACTTGCCGCCGCCGCCACCACCGCCGCCGTATCCACCGCCGCCGCCATTCTTTTGCCAGCCGCCCTGTCCACCGCCTCCGCCTCCGCCGCCGCCGCCGCCGTTCTTTTGCCAGCCTCCTTTGCCCCCGCCGCCGCCGCCACCGTGTCCTCCACCACCACTGCCGCCACCACCATAGCCGCCACCACCGCCGCCTCCGCCGAGGAGTCCGGCCGAGGCAATGGCAAACATGAGTCCGCACAGGAATACGACGAGCAGAGCGTAGCGCATATTGAACTGGAGTATCCTTTGATTGATGAACGGTTGCACTGAACTGTTGCTCAACGGTTGACTGCTGACTGCTGACTGTTGACTGTTGACTGCTGCTGTTGACTGCTGCTGTTGGTGCTGATAGAACCTTAGCTCCACTGATGCCATTACCGGGCCCAGCGCAGCGCTTTTATAGCAGCTGCCACGGAACAGACTGAACTCCAGCTGAGTCATGGTGCTCCCAAACACCGATTGGGCATGAAATTGAAGCAGTGCGCGATTTGTGCGGGGGTGGCGACACGCCGTCGCCATTCCCAGCGACGCACCCAAAGGCTACTCGGAAGGCTGAGAGAATCGCAAGTGGCAAGTGGCAAGTGGCAAGTGGCTGTCGATGCCAACGCGCTGTGCAGTCTCTCGAGTGCGCCGGCACACGCGGCGCATACGCAACGTTTATGCTGGGAATATTGCGCATACGCCACCGGATTCGCACCGAGAACGCCAACCACGCTGGAAGCACTTGTAAACTGCTGAGCCATAGCGATGTCATTAATTACAAGCATTTTGCGGCAACACTTTTTGCCAGCAGCTCACAATTTGTCTTACAATTTACAATTTACAATTTAAATTCTGTAATTTTTCATTTTTCGTTTTCTGCATAATTAATTTAACTATTTTTTTTTGTTTCATTTGGGATTTCGCATGCAATGCGAGTGCCAGACAAATGTGTGTGTGTGTGTGCTGCACGACTCAACACACACGCGCATTCGACGGGGTTCAATGTCAATTACTGCGCAAACACACAACACACAACACACAAACGCAAAACCCAAACTCCAAGTCAAAGCCAAACAGATGAGATGCCTGTTCAAGTGAATTACTTACCATATATTGCATCAACTTGTCCACTTGCTGTTGCATTCAACGCGTGCTGCAACTGCAACAGTGTGGCGGGCCCCAAAGTCACAAATAACCCCACAGACAGGTCCACAAGACGACCTCAGCCAAATGAGCAAAAAATATGCCATGCATCTGCTGCACACTGAACGCAGAACGCAATTCTCAGGTGTTTCTTTTAAGCCTGCACATCTTTTTTTCTAGATACGTTTATATAAATGTATATCAAATTGTCTTAAATTGTGCCTACTTAAAAAAATTAAACCGAAGTCTTTTTAGCTTAATCTGTGTGAACTTAATTAAATAAACTTAAATAAACTTATCGGCAAGTTTAGTAACTTTTCCCGATTTGCAGTCTATACAAAAGCCGAACCTATTCGAACCGGGAATTTACGTTAATTTTTGGAGCATGAAGCAAACCTTAATCCAAATCTAAAGTACCCAAAAATACAACCAACCCATATATTCTATGCTTAAAAAAAAACAATTTAGGCTAGACATTTTGTAAAGTAGAATATTTGGCTCCAAGCATTGAAGTTATCTAACCACACTTGGTAGATGTCAATTTTGAACAGAGATCCGAATCTAGCCCGCACTTTCTCTTTGAAAATATTTATGGCAGGCAATATCTTCAGTAGAACGGGCAATTATAAATTAAAAATATAATTGTTTCATTTAAATTATAAAAATTGCAATCTTAAGCTGGTTGATGCCTTAAACAAGAGAAAGAATGTATTTATAAGAATATATTTTCATATAGCTTCTTTGATAAGCTGTCAGAAGGAACAGAAGGTGGGATAAGTATATAATATATATATTTGGTATATAGTTTTTGATATATTTTATATTGTTTCGCATTTTAAAAGTGCCAAGCAAATGGTGGATCTGGTGCCACTGTGCCCCCTGCAATAAACTGTCAGATGATGAGCGAATGTTCCACGAGCATTGTGAATGCATAAGGTAATAGCAATAATTACGGCGTCAAGTTAGCATATTAATTGTTATGGGCCATAATTCAAATGTGCATTTATGTGAATTTCGAGATCAACGAGAACACAGAACCGCCTCAAGTTCGGCTAACAGCTGCCCCCATCCCAGTCGGCTGGAACAGCTTGTTCTATGCCTCGATCTGGCTAGCGTTCCCAGGCAGACAAAGACGCCATGCGAAGATGCGGCTGGCTGCGGGGCGAGCACAAAAACTTCAAGATGTTTCATCCAAGTATGTAAATCGTTGTAGTTTTTAATTGCTCTCGACTATGAAATGAAATATGGCACACTGAAACGTGGCTAGAGAATGCTCGTCAATCATCTTTCAACGATCCGGCGATGCATTCGAACAGAAATCATGCAATTTTTTGCTTAATTTACAATTTGCAATTTGTATTTGTTTAAAAAAAAAAAAAATGACTTGTTTATAAAAATGGGAGAGAAAAAAAACTGTCTTATATATATACGTAATATAATATCAAAAATCAATAAAATCAAATCGAAAACGAGAGGTCCCAGAGTTGCCAGCGTTCCTTACTACCAGCTGCTGCTGCCCCAGCCATTGTTGCCACTGGACCAACCATTGTTGCCACTGGACCAGCCGCTGCCGCCGAGGCTCTGGCCAGACCATCCGCCACCGTTGCTCCAGCCACCTCCATTGTTCCAGCCGCCGCCGCCGCCGCCGCCAATTTTGATTACCTTAATTATCTTGGGCTGGGAGGACCAGCCGCTGTTCCAGCCGCTGCTGATGCTGCCGCTGCTGCCCCAAGGATTTGAGCTCCAGCCGCTGCTGCCGCTGCTGCCCCAAGGATTCGAGCTCCAGCCGCTGCTGCTGCTGCTGCCCCAGGGATTCGAGCTCCAGCCGCTATTGCCGCCGATCCAACCGCTGCTGCGTATAAGTCCCGCCGAGCTGCAGGCAAACAGAGCGCTGAGTACTATGAACAATTTCATCCTGGAATCTCTGTGGATATGGTGGGTGTGTGGGTTTTGAAGTGTGGCAATTGAATGATCTGAAAATGTACGCAGCGTACGCTATTTATCTAGATTTGCATAGCATCAAATCAGTGTAAAGCAGGGGAGCGGCTGAGCGGCTCATCAAGTCAAGAATCCACAAAATAAATCGTACTGAGTGACAGTGGAGGATGGGGGTGAGGGAGAGGTTGCCCTGGCCTGGTCTTGGTCAGCTGATATATAAACCAGCTGCGCACATATAGAAAGACGAACGAGGTAATTGCAGTTTATTAAACCACTTTGAGCGTCCGATTCTTGACCAGGGTCAACTACTTTACAGCACTTTACGACCGAACACGGCAGCAGCAGCAGCGGCAGCGGCGGCAGCGGCATCTGCAGAAACTCATCACAAGCGCCGTGCTCCATGGGGGCCAGTTCATGTTGCCAAATTGCACATAACTCTTACGCTTGATGGATCATTTCCTCGCCAAGCAGCTGTCTGCTGTCTGCTGTCCGCTGTCTGCTGGCGGAAACAACGCGCAGCTCTGCTCGCTTAAGCCTAATCTTGAATATGCCGACAGAAGCTCGCTGCGGGTGACTCATTTGTCATGTTGGCAGCTCACCCAGGTGAAGGGGCCCGCCAACTGCAACCACAAAGCCGCGGCGGCGACGGCTCACACAGTAACCACCAAGTCAGAGCGAACACAGCCCAAAAATGCAATCCGTGTGGAGAGCAGAAGGTATGCAACAGGTGTCATCCTTTCAGACCTATATCAATTGATCCAATATTTATATTTCTGTAATTCCCAATTCAGTGAAATGTGATTTCCTAATTTGTACATATTTTTTTTTTCAGTGTCGCCAACTCGTTCTTAATCATCTTTTAAATAGTGTTAATGAACAGGATATGTTCCTTCAACATTTCAACATTCTCTTGGCTCATTGTAGTTGACCTCGCCCATTCGATACACCAGTTCACATGGCTGATCGCATGTGGTGGGCTTCACTGTACTCTGGCGCCTCGACGCTTGTTGCAATCTGTGTGTGGCGGCCTCTATTCCACAGATGTCAGTGAATTGTTTTTGCTACTTACGTATGTAACTTTTTTGCATTTTAGTTTTTTTTTTTTTTCGCATAGGCATTATAAACAAAAATTAATTGAATTGTCAACGCTTAACATGCAAATTGTATTTGGGGGCCAATGGACCAAGATCAGGCCAACAAAAAAAAAAAACAGCTTACATAATTATGTGTACATAGAATTAAATACGAGTAGGTGTATTAGATGAAAAACAAAAAAAAAATACAACTTTGGAGCCGATTAGTTTTCGAAATTGCGATATTATCGGCTTATCGCAGTCACAAAATAGTTAACGAGTTTCGAAATTCCTTAAGTCTAAATTAGTTTGTAAGTAATATTGGTTGCCTTGCAAAAGCAGCTTTGAGTTCGTATTTTGGCATCAAATAATTTCAGGTCTCTCAAATTGAAAGCGTTTTCGAGGCAATCAAAAATGGAATATGGCCGGGATTCGGTTGCGCTTTGAATCTTAACTCTAGTTGCCACTATTTTTGGCCGCAGATGCCGCAGCGTGCGAGCCGTGCTGTACGTGGCCCAGACGATTGTTTGCCATAGGGCTTGTTGCCATTGACCTCCAGGAAGTAGTTGCCCTTGATGTTGTGCGGCACGGCATAGCCCATCGGCTGCTGCTCGCCAGTGCAGAGATCTTCGCGCAGGCGCTTTAGCGAGCTGCAGCGTGTGGCCAAGAAGTTGCGCTCGTTGCCCGGATAGACGGACTCCTCATAGTATTCCCAGGCGCGGTCGTGCGCACAGGTCACCGACAAACAGCCCACGGGCAGGGGCTCCAGGCCACCCGGATAAAAGTCCACATCGCCCATGGGATCACGCTTGCCCAGCACGCCCGGATTGCTGTGTATCACATCGATGAAGTGCGCATCGCCGCGCTGCAGTCCCGACAGAACTTCGCCCTCGTTGAAACACGGCTTGGCCGGATCCAGTCCGGTTATGCGCGGCAATGTTTTGCCCGTAAACTGCTGCAGGTAGCGCCCCGCCGAGCCCACAATGTGCGCGCCCAGACTGTGACCAATCAGATGTATATTTTCCACCTTTACCACATCCAGCAGCTTGACCAGGCCCCGTGCAATATTCTCGCCAATCTCATCCGTGTTGAAAGCCGACCATGTGTACAGGGTATCCACGAATCTGGCCACATCTACAGCCTACATGATAATATTTCATTATAGCCATACAACAAGTTTGCTAGACTTTCAATAATGATAATAATAATAAAACTAAGAGCTATCTCATTCCAGCTATTTGAATCCAACATCTAAGCTCGTAAGTTACATTTCCAGAGTATTCAGTTAATTTTAGCCGTTGTTGAATATAGAAATAGTTTTTTTTTTTCTTCTGATTGAAATATTGGAAGTTTAAAGGCTATCGGAAAACGCGTCACAAGTATTCCTTGGCATTGATTGTTCTGATGGCCCGACCTTGTCACATTGTTGATAAGAACTGAAACGCCTTAGTTGAAAGCAACAATCGCGAGTGATCCGATGGGAAACTAAGCTAAGCGTTAAATGTGTTTGGCCGAATAGAATGCACAATCAAAGGTGTTGACTATAGACTATTAAAATCGGCAAAAATCTGTATCTGATCATTTGATCAACATTGTTGCGTCTAACTACAAACTAATGACTACAGATTTATTCCAGCTACTACTCAAAGTATTTCAGGGGCTGGCTTAAGTTCAAGTTTTGCCTTAAATAAGTTTGTAAATGTTTTCGTGTTTTATAGATATTTTTAATTAAATTTCGTCTATAGTCTATCATCTGTAATTTAGCACATTTATATTTCAATTTCAATTGCAATTTTTAGCACTCAATATTTCGTACGTCCCCTTGTTTTACCCTGTTCCTAAAGAGAAGAAGAGTATATTCGTGTTGTGCAATGCCTGCCTCTTCATTAGTCTCTAACTTTTATACTCTGTTCACAGAATGAATAGAGGGTATATTCGTTTTGTACAGCATTAATGTGGCTGTCCGACTCTGCATATAAATACAATTTTAACGAATTTTAAAGTAAGGAACTCCAAATATGAAACATCTAATCGTGTATTTTATTTGCCAAACCCAGACCTAGCCGTTTTATAGCTAGACACTCAAACGGAATACTCATGAGCTGCTTTGAATTTAAAGCTTCTAAATTAACCTCAGCCCCAAAATCGACTAATCCTTAAGTCACAGTTTTAGAGTCGCTGACCTTTTGGGAGTCAGCCATCAGAAGAAACTCCCAAAGACAGATCAAATTGGGAGGGTGTTCCTAGAAGATGCTACCAAAAATATATTTGCCCAGGCCTGTTTCTTTTCCTTTTCGTGCCTCTTGCCTTAAACAGAGTATGCTGTAGTCGAGACTTACCACAAAGTTAACATCGCCGCGACAGTTGTAGGCCTGGGCCAATTGCTCAATGGTATCCGAATCATTGACGGTGGTTGTCCAGCCGGTGGCAAGAATGACGACACCTTTCTTCGGATCGAATTGGGGGCTGTGCCACATGGCTTCCGCTTCCAGGAGCGGAAAGTTTGTCTTGTTGCAGGCGGTGCGCAACTGGAAGTTCATTTGCTTAATGTCCGGCGTGAACCTGGACCTGATCTTATTGGAGCTAAGCGCCTGCGAGCCTGCAAAATGCCGTAGTCTCATGGCTGGAGATTAGTTTTCTACGGGTACTCACACAAGTAGTTGATGGAGCTGGAGGCAAACTCAAAGGGATAGCCGGCAATTAGATTTTTGCTGCCCTCGAGCAGGCCCTGCGGCGTGGGCAGCATCTTTGGATCGATTATGGTGGAGCCAACGCTCCGCAGCGAGCCAACCACATCGGGCACCGTCCACTCGATGCCCTGGCACAGCGCAGCCAGCAGCAGCAGGTGCAACAGGTGCAGCAGACAGTGCTTCAGATTCCGATTTGGGCTTTCCATTCTAGACGACAGTTGCGAGCGCAGTGAATGCCGAAAATTGTGCGGAACGAATATTTATAGGCCTGTTGCCGCAGGCGCGCACACGCACACACACACACACATAAACAGAGAGAATACGGAGAGAGTGAGTGCGAGCAGTACACCCCATATAGATATGTATATATAGGGAGAGAGTGAGTGAGAAGAGTGCGGTGCGAGCAAACAACAATTCAAGTCGTGTGACCATATAGGTGTATTTCATTCGCATCACAGTAATCAGATAAGGTGCACTTGTCTCTTAATTAGATTCAACATCAACATTCACTCACACACACACACACACACACACACACACACACACACAAACTCTCTCACACACTCACTCACACTGCACTTCCCCTGTCCATATGCATCTAATTTAAATACTAATTGTTTTAAATCTCAATCCGAATCGAAGCAGTTGTCGCCAGAGAGCATATGGAATATATAGAAAATATGCCCCTCATATTCGAATAGCGCCAACTGTATTTCAATTCCTAACCCGAATTCAATTTCAAACATAAGTGTTCCTCTAATAATGTCTACAGCATACTCATTCACCTCGACTCGTCTCGAGTGCTCAAATCTGAAATAATACGCTGATTGCGAATAAACAAAAGTGACAAAATATCAGAGCTTTTTTGTGAGTGGGCAACCTTCGTGACAATATCGTTCTTACTGCACCATTCCTAGGGTATATGCTTTAATATACGCTGTCGACGAGTATATCATATTAATGGGGGTATTCCGCAGCTATTACTATGCTGCAGTCGTACGACAGCCGCCCCATTTGGAGTGCCCCGAACACAGACGTCACAAAGAACACAAAGTTGACATCAGCGCACTCCCAAATTCCCGAGGCGGAACACGAGTGCCGGCCCCTGAAATGCCCTGTCTAAAGTTCTAGTCAGAGTTCAGTAAATAAATTTTCAAAAATTGTCAAGTTCAAATGCTTTTCAAATCTTTTAAAGTTGTGAGCAGTATTTGAATTGAAATTGAATTTGTATTTAAACAGGCGACATATGAATACTTAAGGCAGGGTATTCACTCGTTTGTGCTGCACAACATTTGCATGACACGCAAAAATGCATGATATGGAATTTCCCATTGCTAAGTGCTTGAAATCGAAACGAATTATCAAAAATTTATTTATGATATGCAATTGCCGGGTTCTATTTGATCTCGCTTACATCAACATCAGTCACATTATTTGTTTCGATTTCTTGTTATGGAGCAAATAATGTAGAAAAACACATGCACAGCGTCTAGTTGGACTTTCAATCTAAATCCCATTGACTGAACAAAATTAAAATGTTGTATTTTGATGATAAACTAATAAGTATTAAACTAATATATGCTATATAAATCTTAACATATCTTCTCAGTCTTACAAAATAATAAATAATTTCCAACGACTTCAGTTTACACTGGAACTATAAATTAACTTACTCTCCAAAGTGGTTGCTCGACTGTGACCTTGAAGAATTTTTTTTTATCAATTTGTGTGGGCGTGGTCGCATCTTTTTGGCTGTGTCCTTAGGGATGGTCCGGTATTCAAGTGCATAGGGACAGAGGAACACACATACGGACAACACTTTAAAATACTCTTTTTCCTTTATGAATCGAGTCCCCTAAAACTATATTCTATTCTATTCTATATTCTTTTATATATTGTTAGAGCTCACGTTTCACACGAAAACCTAACATAAGCAAGTGGAAATGGGCTGAAAAATAGTTTTGCGAAGGTCAGAGCACACTTCTTATTATTTCCAGGTAGCAATATAAAATAGCTAATGATCAAGGATTACTTTGGGCTAGACTCTAAATAATATCATTTCTATAGAAAGAACTGCCCGCAATTGGACCGTAAAATAATTGCCAGCGCATTTCAAGAACAATATTCAGATAATGTGCACCTTTTTTGTTTTAATATTCATTCATTTGGTTAGCTTTTATAGTTGGATAAATATGGAAAAGAAAAAGAGAGAACAAAATAATATACATATATATTTTGATATGCTTTTTGACACTTTTAGGCCTCAGCATCGCAAGTGCCGCAAGTGCTTTGGGCGGACGTAAAGGTCTCCGGATCGGCATGCGTGCCATAGGGCTCAGCTGCATTGGCGTCCACATAGAACGTGCCCAGAGCTGTGGCCGCAAAGCCCATTATGGCTGGGTTGGTGCTGCTGCAGCTCCTGCCTGTCCATAGGTCCACATAGTTTGCACAGCGTCTGCCCAAAAAGTTAGCCGTATTATTTGGATAGACAGACTCCACGTAATAGTCAACGGCGCGCTGATGCGAGCAGCTCACTGCATTCACGCCCGAGCAGCCGCTGTTGAGGTGGGCCAAGCCTTGCACAAAGAAGCTGCCGTCGCCGGTGCTATCGGCAGTGCCGGCAATGCCCGGATTGGAGAGTATGGTGTCCACATATCTGGCGTCGCCACTGCGCACGCCCGGCAGCTCGTTGCCATCGTAGAAGCACGGATTGGCCGGATCCAGGCCGGTGACGCGCGTCAGCAGCGATCCGCCCGTTAACAACTTATAGTTGCGACCCGTAGAGCCCGCTATCTGGGCGCCCAAGCTGTGACCTATCACGTGCACGCTCGTCTCGACATATTCCCGATCCAGCTGGAGCAGCGCCTGGGCCACATAGAGCCCAATGGCCTCCGTGTTGAGCGCCGACCAACTGTACAGGGTAGTTATAAAGTTGGCTGCATCCAGCACCTGTCCAAGGGTATTTAAATAGATTTACAAATTCCAGAGCAAGTTCTATATTGAATACTTTTTTTTAATTATTATTCATCCATCTAGTTCATCGCTTGTGAATGCGAACTGGTTCAGTTTACACTTAAGTTCAGTTTCTACTTAAGATCAGGGCCTGCAACCGATTTTAAGCCGAACCGGTTCCATCCCGGAATTACAATCAATCAAATCGATTACCCCAAAAACAAAATCGTTCGGTTTGAAACTAATACATTTCGAGAGAAACAGCTTTAAGGTACAAATATCTAATCCAATTTATCTAACTCTATTCAATAGCTGCCATTTTTGGGTATGGATCAAATTTAGCCCGCCATTTCGATATGAAAATATCTACGGCCTGCAATATTTTCAGTAGAACGGGCATTTGTAAATTCAAAATTTAATTGCTTCATAGACAAGCCTGAGTTTAGGAATATGTAAAACCAGGCTACCAAAAAGGCAGGGAATCCAAATCGAACCAGCGACTTCTTTTCTCTGGGCTCGCAGCCCTGCTTAAGATGAAGCTAAATCTTCAAATTAAATGCCTAATGCAGGCTGCTTACAATTTGGACGTAATCAGATCGCAGCATTAAAAGAGACCAATCAAATTGAAAATGATTAAGAACTAGTAGAAAAGGTAAATAATGGTAAAGTTAAACTCGTTAATTATGAGCTAGTTCATTTTTGAATTGAAAATACATCTACTTAATCTACTGAGAAACCGGTTCATCTTTGATTTGAATATACTTTAAGTTGAAGAGTCATTATAAAGAGCATTGCTTAAAAAAGTTGACTTTTGCTACTTTTCGTTCTTCTTTAAAAAAAAAGAGCGGCCTTGGAATTGAACATGTTCACTTGCCAATTCAGACAAAAAGACGAACTCACCACAAAGTTGGAGTCATTGCGACAGGCATACGCCTTGGCCACAGGGCCGCTGTTCGAGCGATCGATGGATGAGCCCCAGCCGGTAATAAAGATGACCGTGGGTCTGTCCTGATAGAAGCCCGTCGTATTCCACAGCTCCCTGGCCCGGGTGAGTGGTATGCTTACATTGGTGCAGGCATCTGGACGCAGCTGGAAGTTCATGAGCGATATATCTGGTATGACTTTCGGCTGCACCAGGCCCAGATCCATGATGGTGCTGCAGATGGACGTAAGCGTTGAGACGCTGATGTCCAGCGGCAGTCCGAACACCAAGCCACGCAGCTGATTCTGCAGCTGGTTCAGCTGCAAGCGCAGGGCCGCCGGGCTCCTTCTGGCCGCACCAGTTGCATTCTGGCCGCTGGCCACGCCCAGCGTGACGAGCAGCGGTAGTAACCAGGCCAAGGGCGTCATTCTGTTGGGGGACGACTGTTGTTAGCTGCGCCAGCGGTACACCCTTATATAGCCCTTGACAATGGGTCAAGCGTTCATGCCAATATTTGTCAACGCCACACAACAGCCATCAGTATCTGGTCTTCTGCATGAGAATTTCGCTTAATCAGCTGCTCCAGTTACAATGGGCGCACATCACGTGCCCAGCTGTTTAATAACCAGGCCAACACAAATCTAATTGTCTAAACGCTTGCCCAACGCTCCGCGATCACCGATCCCCGATCACCGATCCCCGTTCACCGATCACCGATCAGCGATCAGCGATCAGTTCATTCCCAGCTCAGCTACTGGCCCATTGCTGCAACTCATTGTGGGTGCTCCCGACTTGGCCAAAATAAAAAAATTAATAATAAATGGCAGCAACGGACAAGAAGCAAGTAAAAGTGCTCAAGCCGAGAGTGCTCGACCAGATGATACCCTCTAACAGAGGCGTCAGAAACACTCCAGCTGCCTTCAATACATGCATACACACACACACACACTCACACCAGCACGCTTGCTTCCAGTTAGTTCCTCTCTACAGTACATGCGCTCTTAAATAACTCGTTGCTTATTGTCCGATCTGAAAGATGCCATGCAAATATATATACATATATATATTTATGCATCCAATAAAGTTCTCTTCAATTTAGGGTGCAACGGAATCGAAATCATCGAAATCTGCGTACACTTAAACTTGTTTCAAAATCGATAATTATCGATCAGCGGACGTACAGATCGACAGACGGACAGGCAGATGAGCATCGTTTTATCGACTCAGCTCGTCCTCCTGATTAAGAATAAATATATATATATGCTAGCTGCTGCTGCCTGTTACGTAAACGTGCACAAAACAGTTATGCCCACTTGTCAGCTTAGGGTATACAATTGAAGTATTTGCGTTAGGAA